GAAGGAATGACGTATTTAAAAAACAATTTAAACCAAAATCTCACGAATCTATTACATTATTTTAATGCATACTACGTTAATAGCAAATATCGAAGAATAGGAAGCGATGTAAATAAAATTAGGTTTCGAAAACTACCACCGATGTACCCATCAGCTGTATATAGTACTAACAACATTGTTGAAGGATGGAACAATAGGTTCTCAAAACTAGTTGGTCCAAAACATCCCACAATACGGAAACTGATGAGAAAAATTAAAAATGAAATTAACGCCGATCGAGCAAAGTTAGCAATAGATGCTTTAAGACTTGGGTGAACCCGAAGAGAGAAGTACAAGAAGAAGCCACTATACAACTGTAAACATCCGTCTAAAAGAATTAGTAAAAAGGCAAAATGAAGATAACATAACCATTGGAGAATTTTCGACAGCTGTGAGTAGTAATATATGAAAGAGAATTGATTAACTTTTTTATTATATATACAGAGTGATTCTCTTATCAAACAACACTCATCATTTGAAAATTATTGAAAGTGTTGTTTGATAAAAGAATCACCCTGTATATACATTATTTTTATTTTATGTAGAACTGAGGTCCGGCCTAGATATTATTATCATGATTATCATTCAAATTTTATATATTTTTATTACTTTCATAATTATTTTTATTTTATGCAGAACTAAAGTCTGATAATATTATAATAATTATCATTCTAATTTTATGTTGTTTTATTTTTTATTATTACCTTGGTATTCATTATTATTTTTTACACTTTTACAGCTTTTAGAAGTTAGATTTGGGGATTTTTTTTCCGAGTACCACCCCTGCGTACGTCATTACTATAGCCATAAATAGCCTCCTCATAATTTTGTCTACCTTAATAAAAAAAAAAAAAAAATGTCTACCTGAAAGTCAAATTAAATTTTTATGAACGTTTGAAGTTCAAATTTTTACAACATTAGATATTCACTTGATTTCTCATTGAGCGAAATTCTTATTTTGTTGTAATTTAAAAACTAATAACTGTAGATATATAGAATTTACACAATATGTTAAATTTAAAATTAAAAAACTATTTTGATGGTAACAATTTATAAAATGTTCAAATTTTATAGCTATACTCTTTTTCACGAGAGAAAGGTAGCGGCGGCCGACCAAAACGGGTCCGCCGCCGCGCATCCCCCACCAACTATCAGTGGTAAGCGTGATCACGTGGTCGTTCACGCACCAATCGAATCATTTTACATGCGCGAAACGGTACCGTTCTCTCGTGAAATAGAGTATAAGTAGGTTATTTTGCATTTCTGTAACACAAAATCTAAAAATATAAAACACAGTTTTTTTTATAGTTATTTTATGTTCAAATATAGACAAAATTAGATATTTAAACGAAGAAGAACAATTTTAGTTTTGTGTTATATATTTATAAAAATTCTGTGATATTATTATATTATACAAATATGATAATAAACAAATAATAATAATTTAACTTAAACCGGCTACCGTTAATAACAATATAACAACATTAATAATGTAAAATATCCCAGGCTGACAAACACAAATCGTCTCCGCTCAGAATCGTTTTTCATATACAATTATAGCCAATGATATTATATCATTGAATTCAAATTAACCACTTTCCATTACGCCACCCACTCTTTAGGGGATAAGCCTCCCCCAAAAATGTCCATAGCCTCCCAAACTTTCCTATATTTTTTTTTTAAGCTTATTTAATATTATCAAAGTAAGGCTATTTAGCCCCACCAAATCCCAAACGCCATTTGCGCCTATGCCTACTGTACAGTGTACAACAGAGGCGTATTTACGATTTTGGGGCCCCTTTTTTTCAGTTTTTTTTTTTACTTAATGTGACCAAAAATCTTTTAAGCCCTTTCTAATTAGAAAGTTAACTTTTTCTCCGTTAAGAGTGATACCCCAAAAATATATATTTTCCCCTCAGTGCCCCTTAGTCTTATGCTTCCACTAGTTTACAGAACACTTTTATTTTACCATTACCACTCCATTTATTCCTAATAAAAAAGTCAACCTTTATAGTTTAGTAAAACAAATTATAATTTTAGATTTTAGCATTATTTTTCTAAGCTGTATATAATATGACAATATAATAAAATACATTATATATAGAAATATGACGTATAGAAATGTAGTAGATATAATAAGAAAAGATACAGGTTATCACTTATATCAGTTATCACTAATATAATTTCTCAACAAATCCAATAAATCAAAGTTCTCTCAGAGGGACTAAGAATTTGGCGCCCCTGTCACCCATACCACCTAAATACGCCACTGGCAACATGCCCTCTTTTTTTTTAGATTAATAATTTTTCAATAAAACTAACAGTAGGTATATCAGACTTTTTATATTTTCATACAAATTTCTTGTTTTATTCACAGTTCACAGACATCAAAAGATCTTACTAATTTTTAATATTTATGCTTGCTTTTTAAATGTTTTTCTATTTCTTTTAAAGTTTGTAACTTCTGCAATCTGACCTCTTATATACTGAATTATAAATTATATTAATATCATTTTGAAATCTCAGTATTAAATTTAAAAACAAAAGTATTAAAATGTAATGTACTTCATAACTGTGTATCTATTATCTAACATATTTTATTTATAGTACCTATATAGTATATACTTTTAAAATATGGAAAGCTAAAATAAAACATTTTAGTTTATAATATAATATTGTATCTAATATTCTAATATCAATATCTAATATTAGGTTGATAGATGCTATAAAAACACTTTTAAAATAATTGATTATTATTATAGAGGATGGAAAGGTATACACACTGGGTGAAATTTATTCATAGGTACAAATGAATCAGGAAGTTATGCATATTTGTTTAAGTTTTAGGTGATATAAATTCTAAACAAAAATCTTTACTAAAAATATACATTAAAATCTAAACCCTTGCCTATTAAATGTTTTTAAATCATTCAAGAGATCATTACTATGAACCATAAAAAATCTAAAGTAAATACAATTTCAAATCACATTAATATTTAAAAGCCAATCATAAATGCCAACCATACAATAAATGTAATCAATAGAAAAAAGGATATTGATGATTAAAACAACCAGCAGTGTAATTACAATTAATTTTGTTGTACAACTATACTGTTCCTCAGTGGCTAATATCAAATATTAAAAAAAAATGTATCATCAGAATATTTTTGACATTATAAATATATATTATGTAACATAATAATTAATTATGTAACCCTGGAACATTAAGAGGACGTTGCACCCGCATGTGTCTCTCCGTCTTACAAATGTACAACATAGCAAAAACTGTTTTGTGAGAGAAAGAACCTAGAACGCTACAGTCATATCTAAGAAACAACATTTTCACCACATAAATAGGAGAATTTTGGCTGTGCAATATTGTTTTTATCTTTTAGTTATCGGAACTTCAAAAAAATGTATTAAAGTTTGAAAAACATAAATAGTAATAGAATTTGAAACAATAAGAACTGTTATCGTACAAGTGATATCAAAAAAATTAAAACAATACTGCACAGCAGCTTAAGTTCTCTCTTATTAAAGGTGAAAATATCATTTCTTAGTTATGACTGTAGCTTTCTTGGTTCTTTCCCGTGCCAAAACGTTTTTTGCTATACCGTACGTGTGTAAGACAGAGACAACATTGTGGGTGAGACGTTCTCTTAAATGTCTTAAAATGGACCATGGGCCTGACTGTTTCAATATTAACTGTTGTTAAGAAGGTAAATATTTTATTTTAAAATACATCATTTTAAATTAGTTCTCTTTTTAGGTCACTTGCATTTTATTATCTCCATTTTACAACTTACAATTCAAAGCATAGAAAATGAGGTGTGTATGAATTTAGTTTCATTAGTTTTAATGTTAGAATCACTCAACCTTATCAAATTTAAATATAACAACATGATCTGTGTTCTATCAGAGGTTTTTTTGTTGTTATTATTGATACTTAAAAGCCAGTTATAAGTTTGAACAAATTTACAAAAAGACTTCTGAGGCAGATATAGATACTGTTGTTTATTTCAATTTTCAGTGGAAAAGGGTGGTTCTCATTTGAAAAAAATAAATTTGTATAGCCACATGACACTCCTTAAATGGTATAAAAATCCAAGCATATCAAAATATGCACCTTTCAGTTTACTTAAAAATCCTAAAAAGAAGATAAGAATTTGAATAAATTTATTATTCAGAGCAGGGATCGGCAACCCGCGGCCCACATAGTAATGTCAACGCAATATTTGTTTTCTCTCTCTCAAACCCACACGCGAACATCATAGTTAAAGACTTGAAAATCATTTTTATGATTTTTGGTTGAGGTAAGAGTTAAATTCCCTATTACAAAAATTATAAAATACAATACTTTTGAGGGTTTGATATATAAGATTTATATTTTATTATTATTTGACATTCAAGATGAAAAAAAAAATTGTAAATTTAAATTATGTTACTGTTTTGAGGCAATATTTTGACAAATTTATGTCATACTCATCAAAAATATTAATTTCTTAAATTCACAAAATGTAATACCTACAATTTATGAACATTTTGGTTTAAAATAATGTTTGTGAACTTTAGTCAGTACCTCATGATTGGAATATTATGAAATTGTTTAGAATTACACAGCTATTGAGTGATGGAAATAACTCCAGTGATATTTATTGTTGCTTATGAAAAAACTCTTATGCAGAGTTGCATATTAATAAATACATTTAATGGCCCAATCATGGACCACTAGCTCACAATTGTTTCTTTAAACATTTAGTTACTTATTTAAAGTAACCCGGCATAAGCATTTCATAATGTAATGGAAAAGGAGTAACTCAATACAAGCAAATAATTTTCTAAAAATGTTCACTTAGTTAATTTCCAAATATAACAATTTTCTTCGCATTCTGTTAGCAATACCAGTAACCCTGCTTTTTATAGCAATACAATAAAGCAATTAACATGCAATATTTCCATATTTACCTGTTTCCCCAATCAATTTTTGCAGTTGTTTTTAATTTCAATTCTCTTGTTTGATCTTGAGTTAATGTTCCAGTTAATAATTGTTTTCTCCATTCCAGTAACTCTCGCATTACTTTTCGTAATGTAATAAATTTATATGTTTCCCGTTCCTATAATTATATATTTTACATATCATTAATTTATATTAACTATTATATAAATATAAATTAAAAACACAATGAAAAAAAAAAACAAAACAAAAAAACATAATATTATTTTTGTATTATAATATCAACATAATGAGAATATAACATGCTCATAATTAGGTAATATAATATATTATTATAATTAACTAAATATTTGTTAAAAATTGTTGACTTACAGGGGAAAGAACTAGCTTAACATAATCATGGCATGTTCAATTATTATTGTATTTATCAGGTGTTAGGATCTATTATTTCCATTCATACTTATATGTTTATATTTTGTACTTAAATGTAAAAGGTAAAAGTAAATATAAAGTAAATATATTTTTGACATACCACATATAATGACTTCCAAATACAATTCCAATCACGTAAAACCAATGATACTTCTCGGACAACCATATCTTCCAATGGTATAGCTGTTTCAAAAGTTCTGAAATTTCAAATTAAAATTGAAATAAATATTAAAAAATAAAAAATACATAAATTTGTTGGATTTACCCTTCATTTTCAACACGACACGGCTTCAAATGGATGTATGTAGATGGAAATATACCCTAACAAAAAGGATATATGATATTAAAAGAGTGCTTGTATGATATTGTTAATGCTTAACGAATAACTATGTATAAATGTCTCACCTTAACAGATCGATTTTTAGTAACAAATCCTCTGAACCAACCTGTACAATACACAAAATAGCTTTAAAATATACTCAGGTACCTGCCCAATCAATTATTAAATATTATGTTCATACTGACCACAGCATTGTTCGAGGATCTGGACAGTGTCCCCAATTTCAAGATGTAACCCATAAGGATTATCTCCATGCCAGTTGTATATTACTAAAACGATACATACGTTAGTACTTATAAATTTTAAATAATCTCAATTCCAAAATAAAACTCACCAACTCCATATTTGTTTGTTTTTGTTGGAGTCCACATGTCTGTTATTGTAGGCGTGTAATAGGACCGGATTGGAGTCTTCTTCCGCTCATATTTTTATTTTTCACCCAAATCGGCGAATCAAATGTCTTTCAGACAATTGGAAAAATCAAGTCTGACTAGGAATTTCATTTATTTTCTATAAAATCAATTGTCTCTATTTTGTTTACATTTCAGTTTTAATTGCTATCATACGCGGGGGTGGAGCTGCAGAGATAAGATATCATAATTTGTTCGTACGCAATTTCAACAATTTTTAGATATAGATAATAAAAAACTATAGAATACAAAATACAGTATAAAAATTATTATCTTTAACCGTGACAATATAAAAAAAAATTTAGATTTACGTATGATGATAAAGATAAAGTTAACTTTACATGATCAACAATTATAAATTTATCACGGATTTTCAACTTTCTATTATTTAATATTTTCCATTTTATATTTTACTTTACGCGTTCAATGTCGGAACTCGGAATACCAAAATATCTCGAAATTATTAATCAATTAGGTACTAATGTACTTTTTAGTATTTCCTATAGGTTACAAACCACAAGGTTTCATTAAACAAAATCTATTATATGCTCGTGTTGTGCCTATAAGTTGTAATATTATATTTATAATTTATGGACTTATTGTATGATACCTATTGTAAAAATTAAAAGGATACTTTATTATATTATACTATATTATATTAAATGAAGTCGTGTAGAAAACATTGACATTTTAATATGACCATGATGTACATACTACTTAGGTATGTTTCTTTGTACAAATTCATATCATTTATTAAATTTCAACCGAAAAATGTAATAAACTCAACAGTTTTACATGTGCACAACAAGAGGGAAACAATTTTGAAAATCGACCCAGAATGTGCTTTTTAGTAATTTAGTATTCTCATCAATTAGAATTTTCCCATTTTAATCTAAGGTAATTTTACTAAAATATTTCATGTCACTATTAATCATATTTCATGTTACTGTTTATTAACAATAAAATAGTTATGGATAGGTGATAGGTAGCAGGATAATATAACGAACTATTTGTTACTAATTATTATTTTGATTTTATTATACATATAATAAATAACCACATTGTCTACACAATAATGTAAGCACTATGCTCCATATTATATTTTAGAAAATATCAAGGTATACAATATTTGTTAATCTAATTAATAATATATTATTAAATAAAGTATACGCTTTAACAAAGTAAAAAAAACCCTGTCTGAAGATTAATTTTAAACATACATAATATAATGTCAATGATAATTATATCATAAAATTAAAACTAGTATTTTTAAGTCATAGCAATTATGACGTAGAATCCACTAATTGAGACATTTTGATTTATCCCACCTCAAATACTAGTTATTTAACTTACTCAATTTTCCCAATCCAATAATAAAAAAGTTTTTAAGAGATATATTAGATGTAGCAGATTATTTCCTTAAAATAGATTGGGCATCGTGTTCATCTTAAAAGGCAACATAAATCAAATTATATGACATACTAAGGTTATGTTACACTTATAAATTTGCAAATATTATTTTATACATATACTAATTAATATAAGTAAAAAAAAAAAAAAAATTCAAAATAAATTTAAACAATATGTCAAATAATTGTATTTTAATTACAAAAAGCCAGATTTAATTTTGATAAATTACAACATAATACGATACATTTTGTATATAAGTAATAATGTATAAAAAAATTGTATACTTCATATTGGTTTAAAGGACCAACCATGAAATAATTGATCTGCAAATTGATTCAATAATATTTAATGAGTTAAATTTAACTAATTAATAAAACATCTAAAAATCTGAGGTTAAAAAAATTTAGAAAATTTCATTATGATGTATTTTATCTTTGGAAGTTAACCTTTCACATTGGTGAAATCTGCTACCCTTTTACCTATACCCTATATTTATTCAGTCTTCATTTATCAAACTGATAATAAATAAATAAACAAGACTCAATAAAAATAATACTTCAAGATAAACATTTGCTACATGAGAGAGCATTGGCCAACATTGTCCGGTATTGGATTACCATCAGCTACATCTCTCATTAATTCCTCTGGCGGTTGGCCACATTCTTGCATTTTTTTTAATAACTCCATGAGTTCTTTAAACTTCCTAGTTTTAGTGATATCATCATCGGTATCTTGTTGATTTTCTAAATGATCTCGGACTTCTTTTATGCAACTAAACATTTGTGTATACCTAAAATGTTAAAAATAACTTATATAACATATTAGTATTTAAAATGTGTTGAAGTATTATGTATGTCAATAACTTACCTTTCAAATTCTTCTTTATCAGATGTTGGTTCATGGTCCTCTAGCCATTTTGGATATTTATCACACAAATCTTTGATAGATGGATAAAGCACATCCTTGCTCAGCAGTGGCTGCATAAATTGCATTAACATTGGCAGCATATCTTCATCTAAATTTATATCGTCTTGAATACCCATATTGGCAAACATTGAAGTCATATCACTTCCTTCGGGCAGATTTTGTTTCGCTTCTGATAAGCTTCTTAATGATTCTTGAATAACTGTTTGTAAATCAGATCCTTCATCTCCTAAAATTAATTCTTGTAGGCCAGCGGCTAATTCTGCTTGATCACTATTCATAAATGATTTCATTGTCTCTTCAAGACTCTCTTTTAAAAAGTTATCACTTGCACTAAAATTAGTAACTTCAGATATTTTTGATGCATCAACTGATGCATTTGGTTCATCTGGTTTTTCAAAATCTTTAAGAGCATCATCTAATAATTCAGATAATGCGTTTTGTGTGTTCTCTTCTTTTGGTTGGTTTTCAGACATTTTTAAAGAATTGAGACACTAAAAAATAAATAGCATATAAATTTGTTAATAAGTAACTAGAATTATTGTTATTATTATTATTTGATATCAATTATTCGTAATCTAAAAAATGCACAATTTGTATGAACTGGGTTTTAAAATAATATCTAAGCAAATTTAGTAGTTAATACAATATAACATGATAGAATACTGACCTTAATGGCTTAATACAATAATACTTAAATAATAATTTTCTGAACTTCACGTTTCAGAATTTCAGATGACTAGAACAAACTGATAACTAAACAGATGTTTTCATATTGATAAGAAATAATAATATTCATGAATTATAAATTCTAATGAAAAAAAAGTCAAAAGAGGTTAATGTTAATCGTGATTTGGATTGTCTATGATTCGTGAATTATATTATTATCATTGAGTCAATCTCAATCATGACTTATTATTTATTTTAACTGAAATAAAAATTCTTTACTGCGTACCTCCTTTAATTACTTCTTATTTCTGTCATAATTGTATTCGTCATTCTCATTTTTATATAAAATCATAACAATTAGAAACTTCTTCAATAATTCAAGGTATGTAATTAAGTTTAGTTGTCTGGTATCTATTTGTAAATGACATTTAGTATAGGTACTTATATTTAAAAAATCTAGTTATGGCAAGCTATTTTGATGAACTCCATGTTGAAGAAGACGAAATGCCTACTGTTCGATTAGAACGCTTAACGAGAGAAACATTCAGAATGCTGTTTGACCACGATCCAGCACGATACGGTGACATTATCAATTTTCAAAACACACCTCCTGCATCGAAATCAGAAATAGAAAAACTGAAAACACCTTCATTCGAGGAGTTAATAGGTATAATTGTTATCTCCAAATAACGTACTTTTCGGTTAACGCGACAACCAACCATAGTAGTATAGTACATATTACATATATACACTGCACTCACTCGGAAAATTTAAATCAAAAATACCCCTCAATTTGCTATAATGTAAAACCACCTTAGATAGTTCATAGAGTAATCTAACCTTATCTCTAGAACCAGTGTTCGGAACGTTCACTAAAAAAATGAACTCGTTCACGTTCATGTTCAGTCCTTAAAAAAGGAACTCGTTCACGTTCGTGTTTTCTTTTTAAACGAACACGTTCATTGGGTCGTTAATTTAATTTTTTTTTTATGAAACGTTAGCCTGCAGTCAATATAAAAATTTAAAAAACCATAAACATATACGACTCAACCAAAAAATAAAAATTTAATTTAGATTTTAGAGCATAATATACAATTTATAAAGTATCTGAATTAATTTTTAATATCTGACACGTTATTTGAGATACATTTTGATAATAATTTCCCTAATGATAAAATGAAGCGAATACTAGGGTACTTATTATGATAAACCGATTAGGTTTATTACAAATTCTTGAAAATCATAATATTATTGTTGTTGTATGTCTAGCTGGGGACACTGGAATTTCACATATTTAATTTGTATATTTTGCAATCAAACAAATATTATAGGAATTATAATTGGAAAAATGAAAATATTATTATTATTATTATTATATAATTAATTAGTATATTTTATACATATAATATTTATTAAATGGTAAATAAATTGAACATCCTAAAAATCTATCAAATTCATTAAAAATATAAATGTTGGTCACGTTCACGTTCTATTTGTAAAAACCGAGTGACGTTCACGTTTCGTTTACTATATATGAACGTGCTTTCATGAACGACATTCTTTCTAAACACTGTCTAGAACTACTCAAGGTAGTTTTATATACCTATCAAGTTGAGGGATGTTTTCAATTAAAATTGTCCAAGTGAGCACAGCAAGAGAATTTCCACGCCGAGCGCTGAGTCTATAAAATGCGCTTTAAAAATGGTTTTACTCCAAGACCTACCCAATGTATCAGGTGGCTTAACAACGCAAATCAAGGGATATTTTCAATTTAAATTGACCGAGCAAGTGTTCCTGGTAGATTAATTCATACTGTGGTCGCATTAACCAAAAAGTACCCAAAATAATAATATTTACTGATTAGTATTTGTATTACCTACCTATAGATGAACAATGTCGAATCTGTTTATCTCAATATCAAGTAAATGATAAAGCACTAAACATGCCATGCAAACATATATTTCACGAAAATTGTTTGAAAACATGGCTGGAAAAAGTAATGAAACCATTTTTTTTGATAACTATAAATAAGTAACTATAAATTGTTAAAATATTTATTTTATTTTTCAGAGTAATTTTTGTCCACTTTGTAAGTTTGAATTGAAGACTGATAATGAAATGTATGAATTGTATAAGCAAGAATTGAAAAATCGACAGTCAAGAGAAGATAACATTGCCCAACTTCACGATTCTATGTTTTCATAAAAATAATAAACTATAAATAATAACCATTCATAGTATGTATAACATAGGTACTTATTATACATGTTACAGTTAATACAGACATCTTACATAAGTTAGGTGGTTAAAAATTGGGATTTTGTGTTTTTTATAGGGTCGTTAAGATTTATATTGTGTATGATTACCTATTATAAACTTTACGTTACAATATTCCAGATTATCATAAGTCTATTACTAACTTTTTTTTAGAAAATCTCATTTCAAATTAAATTTAGCTTTAAGTTTTTTATTTTATTTTATTTTTTTTTATTAAGAACTTATTTAATTCTATACATTTGTTTTCATATTATTAAAATCATTATTAATGAATTGAACTATTTTATGATTTTAAATTACCTATTACCTATATTTAGAAAAACCGTTTGCACTCACCATTATTCTGAATAATTATGCAACAAATTATAAATTAAATTGTAATATCTTTTATTTACTGTTCGATTATTATTTATTTCCATTTGAAAATTTTAGTCTAGTCTAGTTATGTCAAACCATATATTATGTGATAGTGTATATTATTAAAAAAGTTTCTAACATACAATATTAGTAAGGGGCCCAGTGCCAGATTTTCAAAATTTCCGCAATTCTATAAAATTTGAAAATTATAATTAAACTTTATATTTTAGTTGCCACCTTAATAATTATAATACTTTTACTTTTTTTATTTTATTTTATTTTTTTTAATTAAGAACTGTATAGATATTGTTTCCTATAATTTAATACACAATATCACGTGTGATAAAATTATCGTCTAAGTATTAAGTCTAAAATCTTTTTGCAAACATGTCCAAGTCGATCAGAAAAGTCACTGCATAGCCATAGTTCAATGTATTTTTGACATGTTTTTTTTTTTCGCTTTTTTTTAATATAGAATTAAATATTTAAAATTACAAGAGTCCCAACAGTAGTGTTAGTGTGGGTAGTATTATAATATATTAAATATATATACATAGCATATTATGATGTATTATGTAATTTAGACTATAAGCCTCTTAACGATCGACGAAGAATTATATGTTTAACTATTATTTTTTTAAGAATACTATCATTAACACGAAAAATCAACCATCGTTTACCTTAAAATTAAACATCACTTTTAGGCAACCACTTGATACAAATGAAATACAATTTAGCAATTACGACCAAGTCGTTTCATAACGTGGTTCTGCATATAATTTGAGAATTTATACAGTTTTTTAGACGTTGTGGCTTTCGCGATTCTTGTAATATTTACACTGGTAATTTTTTTTTTTATATCATCTATATATTTTTAAGTATTAACAAATAGTAATCATAATTGTATATTAGTAGTTTATACGGTTTTTAAAAACGGTATTGTTGACCGTTCTTTTGTATGTAGTTATACATAAATCTATGTTTTTATGTAATATTTAATTTAACGCATGTGTTGTTTATTAATTACCTATTATGAACTAGGTAATAGGTATTCATAAGTAATAAAATATAATTATTTATACACACTTTCGTTCTGCTGAAACCGATTGAAGGCGTTGGCATCGAAAAGCGATCGTTTACGCTAAAGCAATAATGATTGCCTATCTGACCGCCTCGGTCAAGTAACATTGTGTTCTGCTATTATTTACTTTACATTGTCCTCATTAAAAAAAAGAACATTCCTCAAAGAATGAAATTTATAAAACGAAAAAATAAAGAGAAATACACTCCCGCTTGAACGGTTTGAAGACAGAAATTAGATTATTAGGTATAATCACGTATTTATTGACATAACCTATACAAAATCAAAATTAAAAGACAAAAAAATATGTTGGCCATTCCAATACACTATTTCTTGGTAAATAACGAGAAAAAATGTTAAGAAATTAACAGGAGCTGTATAGCCATAGATAATAGAAGAATTATATTCTTCTAAATCTTCTATTATCTATGTGTATAGCGGTAAAGAAATGTAATTTAGATTAATCAGACGCATAATTGATCACGGATAGCACAAAATATAATATAATAGGTAGACGTTTTGTGTATACTGTATGCTTGAAAAATATCGATCTACACTCTAGGTATCACGATTATTCCATTAAATGAATTCTAAAAAATAACCTATATTAGAAAACTGATAGTCGACCACCTTTGATTAATATATTTTAATAAATGAAAAAAAAGAATAATTTTATTTTGGCATACCTACTAATGTTATTTATTCTGTATTCACGATTTGTGGATAAGCTATGAATACAGCGGAGCGTACCTACAGCGATATACTACAGTTAATGATATTTTACGAATAATTAGTATTTACATCGGCACGCCATGGACAGATTTGATGTAGGTATGGAAACAAATTTATGATAAAGTCAGTTTTATTTCATTGAAATTAACTAAAATCACAAAAAGTAAATAAAGGCGTGATTTAATTATACATATTTATTCTATAGATTATAGAATGTTATTATAATAGGTAATATTATATCATATGATTATTGATTTTAGACAGTACGTCAGTACCTGATTTCTATTCATTAATTTAACCTGGTTGTCCTACCATCATTAGTGCATATGGGCAAGCCCGGATTAAGACGTTTTAAGGCCCAGGGGCTAAAGTTTTGAATGAGGCCTATATACGAAAATAAAATGTATATATCATTTAATATTAGGTACTTGTTATAGTAAATATTAATAAGTATTAGGTTCATAACAATAATTAATAATGAATAATATATCACTTTAATTATAAATAAAATTGAATATTAATTCTTAAGATTAAGATAAAAATAATATATAAAATCTATAGGGAATTTTATAGGTATCAATCTATGGATATTTATAAATATGGCACATTTTTTTTTTTGTTTTTTGTCATATTTGTTTTTTATTTGTACAATCTGTATAAAAAAAAAATATTTACAATAAGTACAATGGAGATAATGATAATATATTGGTAATTGGACATGGTTGACTTGTTGAAGAGACTATTCATTAATAGCACTTCATGGCAGGATGGTGTACTCGTCAACTAGTCGACTAGTAGGTCACGGCACCAGCTACGCTTTAAACGTCGGCCAGGGTCGCCCGGGATTGTTCGGCAAGATAGGTTTTGGATGAGAGGGTTTCGGTGATTTGAAAGTTTAAGGTGGAAACGTTTATATAGGGTTTTGGCGACGTTTTTTACTGTCGGAATGAGGAGGTCCCTGTGGAGGGTATCATTTGTAACATAAAAAGGGGCTTTAGTTATCTGCCTGAGGCATTTGGATTGAAATGTTTGGATTCGGTTTATATTGGAGTCTTTGGCTGAACCCCAGAGTTGGATTCCATAGGTCCAGATAGGTTTGAGGAGTACTTTGTACATGAGGATTTTATTGTGTAGTGAGAGATGTTTGGGAAATATGGCACATCATTTCAATTTTTAATTACATACACTTATATTAAGCGTACATATATTATTTTATTTTAAATATTACTTGATTTTCAATCATTTCAATTTGTAATCACAAACACACAAAAAAAAAAATCCACTTTTAATCATACTCCTGGAATTCATGAACAACCCAAGTCCGTCAAAATGAGAGAGAAAATGGATTAATAAAATACAACATCCCAGGATATTAAAAAAGATCGCCCAAATCCTTTCGATACAATATGTTTTAAAATCACTCGTCCAAACTCAATAATATGCTAAATTTCCCCAACACATTGCATTTATTAAAAATTTTCCCAAACACAAACCACCCGTTTGTTAACTCCTGTATAAATAATATAGGTAATAAATATTAATAATAATATATAGGTATTGGCAAGGGTTAAAGTTGGGGGGGGATGCAGGAAAACTCAGTCCTCCTACCTCTGAGGGCGGTTAAGAAGCGTCCCCTTTAACAAATTAGGATTTTATACATTAGACATTATACATAAAACTATATGGAACGCTTAAAACTATGTGGAGACATTAGTCCCCACTGGAATTTTTTCCCACTTTAGCCCCTGTGTATTGGGCGTAGGTAGGAATGTAGGAGATATGTGCGTTTGTTAAAAATTTAGAGCAGTATAAATTATAATTATAGTACCTAGTACTTACCTACCTATGACAGCGTAGTCCGAATATTATGCGTTATAAATTATAGGTAATTAAAAACGAAAATGGATGAAAAACTAAAATGTGTTGGAAAGTAACCCAAACCAATATGAACATTTCGTGTAAATCCATATAATATGCATTATATTTTGCTCAGATAATATTATATAATAATTTTCTGGGAAGAAGTTTTCATTTTTTAAACGAGTACTACTAACTCTAGCTAAAATATATTATTTAATCAGCAGGCACCTGCGATAGAAATAATTTATAATTAATTGTACGTACCTAACAGTCAACAGATGAATCGTCGGTGTTATGATATTATGATCTTGACCACCAATAACTATTAGAACATTTCAATATCATTATACGCATTTTATATACCAAAACAGTGTTCGTAATTATTTTTTAGCCATAAGCAATTACTTACATAGTATTACTTACAGTTGTATGTATCAGGATAAAATGCGTAAATTACCGTAGGAGTGGTACCTACCTGTGACTCGTCGTGTATTATGTGTATTAGGTATGTATATCATTATATAAATATAATATAATATGTTTAAACAGGTCATTCACACCAGTGGCGTGCTCAGAAAATTGATGTGGGGGGGGGGGGGTTCAAGTAAAATTGAAGGAGCTAGTCTTTTCATAAATGACCATTTTTTTTTTTTTTTTTTATCAACAACAAATTCAATTTATAGATTTAAATATTATATTGCTAATCTAGGAACTATTATACTAATACACAGTATACATTCAAATCTACTTTTCTTGATTTTTTGCTCAATTCATTTAAAACTTCTTCTGCTGTTAGTGGAATTTCTTTATGAACAGTTAATATAGCTAAGCCATTAAGTCAATTCTAAAACCAAAAAAATGTTAAAAAAATTAATATAATTTTTTATTTTAATATCCA